CGGTAGCCTCTGGGTCTCAGCTTCATCTCCGTGAACGGCACGGAGAACTCGAAGCCCTTCCAGTGGTACCAGCTCACGCCCTGGAAAGGAGGTGGAGTCAGAGCAGACCCCATCCGCTGCTCCCCCCCTCCGCCCCCTGGTTCCCAGAAACTAATCAACCGCCTGCCCTCCCTGCTGCCTTCCCAACCCCAACGCAGACTGGCCCTTCCCACCCAATAAACCACTTCCTCCCCAAAGCGTGGCGAGGGCGCTGTTCCATCACAGACGAGGCCGGGGCTCAGTAACTCCCCGCCCTGCGGTCAACCAGCAGGGGCGCACCTGGTGGTCCACTGTGCTCCCGTAGAGCCCATTGAGGTTGGCGTAGTGGCAGTTCCTGTACCACCAGGCCCCTCGGTAGGAGACGGCGCAGGAGATGAGCAAGTGGGCCCAGCCCTCACCTGCTGTGCCGTGGTAGCCCTCCAGGTGGAGGCGGTAGTAGTCAGCAGCCGAGTCTACCCGGAAGGAGTCGTACTGGGCGAATGCCACCTCGTCCCCGGCCCGCAGGTCCACACGCATGGAGTAGTCCCCGTGGCTGGTCAGGCTGTGCAGGGCCTCGTTGCCTGGGGGTGGGACCCTGCTCTCACCGGGGCTCTGCTGAGCACGGGGGCCGTCCCTTCCCTGCCCCCCAGTCCCTGTGTGGCACTGACCCAGCCAGAACTCCCCGGAGATGTTCCCAAAACCATGGGCATAGTCCTCCCAGTCCCTGTGTGGCACTGACCCAGCCAGAATTCCCCGGAGATGTTCCCAAAACCATGGGCATAGTCCTCCCAGTCCCTCCAGAAGTCCGTGCGTCCATCCATGCGGCGCTGGAACACCTGGGGAGCAGGTGGGCAAGCTGCACCCACCAGCCAGCCGCCCCCGTCAGTCTCCATGTCACAAAACACGTCCAGTGGCCGCGCGCGGTTTCCATTGAGGAAGATGGTGGTGGTTCTGGAGGTGCCCGCCCCGTTCTGCATCTCCTCCCCACAGTCCCGGGGAAAGGGGACCTGCAGTCCACCTGGGGGGAGCACAGGGAGGGTCAGTCCTTCTTCCAAACCCTAGACCCCTGCTGCCCACGCAGCCCGACCCCCGGCCCCAGCCCCCAGGCACCAGTGGTGAAGGAGGTGGACATGGGTGGCGTGAGGGCCTCGCCCCACATGGCCCGGAGCCAGGCTCTGTAGGTGGTGGAGGGAAAGAGGCCCAGGAGCTGGTGAGCGGTGACACTTCCTGGGAGCAGGATCTCCTGTGGGACAGAGAAGGGGCAGGTCGGGGACATGGAGGCAGAGGCAGAGGCAGAGGCAGCCCCTGGAATGGAACCCAGGGAGGGGCGTGGCCAGGGGGCAGGGGTGGGGCACCTGGGTCTGTCCATCAGGGATGTCGTAGGTGAGCAGGTAGCCAGTGGGCAGGACTTGGGGCTCAGTCCACGTGAGCAGGGCCGTGCGGGGGGTCACTTCTTTGGCCTCCAAGTCCCGGGGGCCCTCCAAGCCTGGCAGGGGAATGGGGAGGAGAAGATGGAGATGAGGCCCCTCCTTGCACCTGCCCTCCCCGCCCCACCCCTCCCAGGAGGTACCAGTGGTGAAGACGATGCTGGCTGGAGAGGTGAGGTTGGGGCCCCGAAGGCCATGCACGGTGGCTGTGTAGTTGGTGTGGAGCTCCAGGCCCTGCAGGGGGTAGTCCACAGCG